TTCCTTAGTAGCGCTTTAGCTTTAAAGTGAAAAATACATAGGGGCTAATGTATTTTTCACTTTATTACCTTGTCAGCCTGCAGGAACTACTAGTGATCTGGACCATTATTTTAAAGTGAAAAACACCTTAACCACTCGGTAATTACTCACAAGTAAATTAATAAGTTGTTTACATATTTTATATCTGACATAGGCCTACTGTACAGTCATACATCTGTGTGAAGCACTAGTGATATTTTACCAGTAGGTCTTTTGGAGTGGGATACCTTGATACTGAACTGACACGAAGCAGAGATCATAATTGTGAACTAATTCAATCATGAGCTTGTCGTTCTGAGGTGTGCAATTGTTTTCAGGGAAACGCACGGCGAACGTAGTTCCAGGCAGCTCTCTTGACCGCATTACAGTTCCATACCACTTCGCATAGTTAACTGTAATAACGGAAATTAGCATACAGTAGATACAGCACACAGGAATTACTGCAATCACACGTGCCCGCACACGCACACTACGGTCACGCAGTTTGCACAAAAAGGTGTTGTCAGCGCTGCCCTGACGATTTTATCAGTTAGCCTATATAGTGTAGCAACTTAAAGCGGGCCGTTGAATTATTAGAAAAATAATGCACACCCGAGGTGTAACGGCCACGATGCGAAGGGTGTTCATTATTTTTCTAATAATTCAACGGCCCGTCGTCAATTATTCTTTACATAATGCACATATCTGGAGCTATTTGTCTCTGCTTACACAAATAAACAATAGGGAGGAAAGATTCTCCTTCAGGCTTATATGTAGGCCTACCCTGTTTCAAACTGATTGTCTCACATTTTTTGTAATTCATATTAGTTTTAATGCAGACAGCATAAGAAAAGTAAATAATTCAACTCTAAATCGCTGCTGTTGCATTGATTTCCTAGTAGAAATAGAAGTTTAGTGCCACATTGACAAAAAGAAACCAAGTTCCTTCTGAACCTCAAAGGTGAAGTAGTATATTCACACATACTGCTGAATAGAAGTATGAGATGTTTTTACAAGAGTCTCAACTGACTGAGCCCTGGACAGTTTTTTTTTTTTATACTCGTGGTGTTTCTTCCACAGACAGAGCTGAGCTAAAACTGCTAAAACTTACATCTCACCATTTGCAAGCAACTTTGCTGTTTCCCCTTTTGGCTTTTATGCATTTTTATGTCAGTATCAGAATTTGCTGCTGAGTGCAAAAAGTGTCAGAAAGTGAATTCACAAGTGGTTTATTCCTGTGCTATAGCTGTGCAAAGCTAAAAACTATTAAAAACCTTTTTAGTAATGGATAGGGTACATGCAAACACAAACTTTCAGCATATGACAGTGAGATGTAGAGATGTTTGCTGAATAAGAACAAATGGTGAGATTAATGTTTTAGCTCAGCTTAGCTCTGTGGAGGAAGCATGAACACTAAAAAAAGAACCAAACTTTCCGGTGCTCACTCAGTTGAGACTGCACTTCCTACACAGCAGTATGTGAGTTTACTACTTCATTAATGAAGCAAAGGCTGATCAGAATGAAGGATGAGAAATGGGAATATCCTCATTACATTTGATTTAGGTGAAAGCAAAAACTATTCTGGAAAGTACACACATGATATTATGGCAATATACTGTATGTAAGGATCTGAACACTTAAAGGGATAGTTCACTGAAAAATGAAAACCGTCATCATTTACTCACCTCAAGTTGTTCCAAACCTGTATGAGTTTTTTCTTCTGCTGAACACAAAAGAAGATATTTTCAAGAATGTGGGTAATCAAACAACTGCTGGTCCCCACTAACTTCCATGGTATAGAAAATAAAAATACAATGGAAGTCAGTGGCGACCAGCAACTGTTTGATTATTATTTAGAAGTATTCAACAATATTAGTTAAATAATGTAGTTAACTAATTATAATAAATGCAATCATATTGTTAAGTGTTACCCAAAATCTTATGTTAAATGCAGGTGAAAACAGGGCCATTTATTCTTACATATATTTAAAGATCTGTAATATATCTATCTTGCTTAATTTTAGAAATAAATGTTTCTCATGGCTATAAGAGAGAGAAGCATGACACCTCACCTTTATTTACTCATACTGTAATGATTATATAAATCCAATTAATATTATACACAGTTTCAGAGCAAAAATGCACAAAGAAGTCAGAACACTGTTAATTAAACAAACAGTTTAATGGCAATAAGACAACTTCAACAAAACAATTATCACCAATATTATCACTTATTACTAATGATACTTGCCATGATATGTTAAAAATATCTTTAAAATTATTGTAAGATATCTATCGATAAACACAGTTTAAATATATTTAACCTCTGCTATTTATGCACAGGTTGTCTGCCCTGCGTGGATTTACACACTGTTGAATAAATTGTATGATCTGTTTCAGAGGCAAATGATGGCTTTTGGTGTTGTCCTATTGTACTGTAGGCGGTGCTGGGACGATTTTCTGTTTGCGCCTGTTCCTGTATCTGTGAATATATGTATTTATAGTAAATATATAAAATAGTAACAAACATATTTAATTGGCCTTTTGACATCTGTCTATCTATATTTGTAAGGGTTTGCATAAAAAAACATCTGCGTGAAGAAGTAAATGTGTCCCTCTCTTTCTTACCTGAGGACTAGGCATTGTCTGACTGGTATTGTGAGTTTGTTTGTGTTCCCCTGTAAATCCATACACAGTTTGAGGATTCGCTGATTTCTCCAACATCTCCAGGGGTCTTTGCACTTCATTCCTTGGCTGCAGAACAATCCAGTCAAACAGTCATATAAATCCTTCTGTACATGCACATTTTCATTCAGACTCTATGGCTAATATTATGTGAACACCACCTTCCCACTGAGCAAGTTGAAGTAGGCTACATAATTCTACATTCTAGAGAATTATGTGTTAGGATTCATTAATTCATTCTTGAAATAAGAGTATAAATGTTATATGATGGCTATACAAAAAAATATCTGAAGCTTACCTGAACTTGTTCATAGACTGTCTGATCATTCTGTTGGGCACCTAAGAGATTTAGAATAGAATAGATTTAGAAAGTGACTTGCATACCAAAAATCATACTGAGGCTACAGTCATTTCTATTTCATTAAGGCAGACATACTTTTTTTACGCTTCTTGTAAGAGCAGCATATTACAGAAACTGCTGTGAAAACCAACACTGATACACCAGCGATGACCAAGAGCCAATGGAGAGGAAATGAAATGTTTTCTTCTGTAATGAAAAGCTGTCACATTAACAGTCATCAGAACAGTCATATCCTGAGTTAAAGATACTTTGTGGTATTTTGTTTGAGAATAAACTGCTAGGAATTCAAATATGGATGATGTAAGAGTAGTTATTTACTTTCATGACGTGTGCAAAGTTGGTTAATCTTTATTGTGTCATTCTTCCAGCTGACTGGGTTGCTGTAGTTACAAACAACTACGTTCTCTATACAATACAGGGCTAGAGTCTGGATTCCAAATGATTTCACTTTCTCCTGAGTGCAGTTGTTGCTGTGGTGGATTTCTCTGATTGTACGATCATGCCCCCTGCATGAGACGTCCACAATACAGGCGTCAACACTTATGTTGGCGTTCCAGTTCAGAATAGGAGAATCCACTGGATCTGAAACATACAGAAAACTTTGCATGAAGCTATAGGTTACAGTTTTTTAGATTCGCTAGGACCCATTTCTAAACACTATAGGTCACTTTTTCAAAACTCTTCACACAGTGAGTTCAACAGCACTCTATGTGGGATAAACTGTGGATAATTTTCTATTGCTTTGCCACAAAATACATTCAGTCACTACATCTCTCAAATTGCTTATTCCTTTCTCACTCAGACACAACCACCACCAAAACTTTGCCGTGCGTATGCAGTCCATGTGCGTTACGTATGCGGTGCAGAAGCAGCATGGACTCATTTTGCTTTCATACAGGATGCGTTTGTAGTCCGCTCCTGATCCGCAGCTGTTTACCACATACACAACCATTATTTTGATTTCAAATCAAAACGTTGTTACTGAAAATGCTTTTTCAGCATTGAGATCCTCTTTTATCACAGTACAGTAATACAATCTTTCATAGATATTCTCAATAAATATGAACAACGTTTTATTCAATGCATTTGACTTCTGGATTTGTATATTAAGTTGCTCAAGCAAGGCAAGTGGCACTGCCGGACTGAAACCGCGTGCAGTGTGAATGCTCTGATCCGTTAATATGGGTGCGGAAAAAAACATGCACTGCATATGCACTGCAAACCGAGTATGTGTGAAACAGGCATTAGAGTTTTTCCACCTAATTTCAACACTGTGATTGGTGGTCCAGCTATGAAATTAAAGAGGGCCAAGCAATAGTAATGATCCTCTAAATGGGTCATGGTCTGTTATCATTAACTTTGTAACAAGTTCCATCCACTGTGAAGAACTCAATCGGAAAACAATGCCAATAAAATATCTAACGCTGTTCACTATGGAAAACGCAAGCAACATTATTAGGTGGACATTGTTGCTCATTTATTATCCACGCCAAGATTAACTTTTAATGAAATATTTGAGTTGATCTTCAAAAGAAGACCTTAAGAAATAAGACCTGAGCTTAATTTGGTGCAGAAAGCCTAAACTTTTGAAAGCCTTTCAACCCCAGCAATTACAACTGATACCGCTGGATGACAGCATCAACCATGAAACTAAAGTTTTACTGCCAGAATTGTTTGCTGTTTGGGTAAGTTATTTACAGTTTAATAGGTCATGTGCCAACTGATGTTATTCTGGCCGCCGCTGCCACTGTTTTATATATTTTAAGCTTCATTTGAGAAAATTAGTAGGCCTATGCACATTTCTGTGACCACTATTCACATTCTGTAATTCTGCATAATAGTTATATTTTTCCAATATAAGCCGTTTGTCTGTTCTGTTACTTACATTTAATTGGCTGCTGTAGTGTAATGATACCCCCTTTACGCAGTGTCTATTTACACTAAGTGCAAATAGCCCACCTTGTTGGCAGAAGCTATTTACACTTAATTCTACCCACCAATGTGTGGTTGTGGTTGGGTTGGACAACATTAGAAAAGACGGCTGTCAATCAGTGGCTTCAGATGTTAAAGCGCTTGACGCATTCTTTGTGATGAGAGCAACCCGAGTTTGAAACCGCGAAACTGAGTTTTTCAACCCTTTTCACATCTCTTATCACATCGGGAATGCATTAATCTTCAGTAAAAATAAAGGAAATAATCGAAATGTTGAAAATGAAATATCGGGTAGGGTTAGGTGTAAGGGCTTCATTGTCCCAATAAGGCAACATCTATTTAATTCATTCTAATAATATTAGAGTGTATAATTTACACTCAATATGTTATTGCATACTGTTTTATAATGTACTACAATACTGAAGTGCAGATATTTGCCACTATTTGCAATAAGTAGTATAAATAGCAGAAAATACTGCTATTTTTACATAGTGTAATTAGAATCTGTCACTATTTGCACTTAGTGTAAATAGCATATCGCTAAGAAACTATGCTACTATGCTACTTTCACTTAGTGTAAATAACATCTAAATAATATTACACTTAGTGTAAAGAGTAACTATCTTCACTTAGTGTAAATAGCATCTATTGCTGCCCTTTATTTATTATCAACATTGGTTCCAAAATTACACGATCACTCTCTGTTTCACTGTCTATTATGCGGAAGTATCTGTCCCTAATTTGCTTTGGTCTGAGAGCTGTTATGACATGATGTGTCGGCTTACATGAAATATTGTTGGTTTTGTGAGATATACAGTAAGTTTTACAACACAGCCAGTTGCCTCTTGCATTTCTTGTCAAAGGTAACCTATCCAGTACTATAGGTGAGGTCACAGTAAGCTATAGGCTTAATTTAGGCTGAGTTATTTTTTTCCCCCCAACAAGGGAAGGAGGTGAGAGGGCCAAGGTTTAAAAGTCACGGTTTGTTACTGGTTAATTGACTTTTCAAAGAGCATGTTGTAGCTAAGGTGAAGCCTGCCCTGGTCAGTTAATGCCTTAACCGAATGCCTTAAAATGAAACTTTCATTTCTATATCCATTTCATTTCATTCCATTCCATTTTTTTGTTTGTTTTTTTGCCTGTCCTTTCAGTAAATTATTCTAGTGCTTTTCAGTTCCCTTGATGAGTGAGTAGATGTTCTATGACACCTTTTTAGATGCTCTTTTTAGATCAAAGGAGCTGAATTCACCAACCACAGCATCACACGACAGTTTGTGACAAGTTAGCCTCACATTTTAGTCAGTGGAAATGAAAGCAAATACATTTTTACGAGTAACAATGATAATATTTACAGTTTCAAATATACTTGAGATTGTTAAAAAAAATCCATTGTAAACTTTGTAAGTATATACAACTAAAATTATATTTATCCTCTTTATGCTGTTTGATGCATCATAGTGCAGATTCTTTTGATATTCTAATCTGTAAAGGTCATAACCAAAAAAATTAATGAAAAAATGCAACAGTACTTTATTTCACTAAATTATACTCACCTATAACTGATATGTTGTATTCAGCAACACACATTTCTTGTTTTCCAATAGTCATTGCTCTGTAGAGTCCACTGTCTGTCTTCTGCATGTTCCTCAGTGTTAGAGAGAAGGTTTTAGCATTGAAATCCACTCTGTCCTTATATGAACGATGAGGTTTGATTTCTCCAGATTGATTTAGAAATCTGACTACATTTTCTAATTTATCATTCATCCAGACTAATCTACTAAAGTGTGGTGGTGTTTCATTTTTTATGTCTAGTTTAACAGAACCCCCCGTCTGTACGAACACATCTTCAGATCTGGATACTGAGGAGAGAAACATGAAGAAATTGTGTTTTTAAAGACTGTATCATGCCTTTGTTTATCAGATTAAAGTTGTAATCTGCTACCTAGAACCTTTTAACCACACAGCTACCTTTGTCTTTTACATTTATTTATTTATATTTTGTATATATTGTGCACAATGTTTCCACTAGTTGGAGCTGTTATCTTAGTTCAACAAATGCCATGTTTTTATTCTGAATTTGGCGCATTCCTTTTCTATTTATTTCTATTGATTTATTTTATTATTTTATTATTTTTTGGAAGACAAAATGGCACTAATCATAAAAAGACCATAAAACGACTTCAGAGTTGTAAATATGCCATTTTAACAAATATTAAAACAGTCCATGACTGTTTTTATAACAAAACAGTGATAGCCAGCCAAAATAGTGTTGTTATTATAATTATAATTGTTATTATTATATTTTTACATTAATTTACTGCTAGATCTTTCATGTTTTGGTGATAACTGATAATATTTATAAAGCAAATATGTGCGCATAGTCTGCTCCTTTTGCAATGGACATCATGTCATCTCTAAATCAGATTAACAGAAGTAAAGGTTTTGAATACTATATGCAAGCAACATACATCTACCCAGTTATGGAAATGAAACATCACTTGAATAGTCTACAGTCATGTGTTGCACATAAATAATAATTAACTATTAGTCAAAAGACAGAGATAAAATGAACGGGTTTTGGTACCTGTGCTGGAGATCCAAACTGTCATGAAGAACATAAGAATGTGACCAAATTCCATCGCAGCAGACGGATGGAGTCTAACCTGCCCTGGTGATCTGTTAAGAAGAGGAAGTTGATCGTTTTGTGTGAAACACTCAGTGAACCTTCTTTCAGATGTCTAGCCAGGAAATCTCAAATTGTATTGCATAATAAAACATACTAAAACTAACTGTAGATATATAATCTGTCTGTTTTGTTTCTATAGTCTGTCCTTGAGTCATCTGAAAACCTGAACCCAAAACTGTCCGAAGTGATGCTAGCACAACACAACCCCCTCTGAGAAAAGTGATCTAGATGCTAAATGGTTAACCACTTTTTTTTTACTAACCACTAGCCCCTGCAGTGAGTGTGTGCAGACCCAAAAAGGTTTCGTGTGCCTATCAGCTTGTCTTCAGACCACTGTAAAAACTCACCTCAAAATCATATTTGTTTGATTTACATTTCAAGTCAACAGATAAATACAGTTATTCTCCATACAACAATATGGAGGGAAAAAAACTTAAGGATACGCATAGGGTGCCATGTCATGTATACATCATGTTTTAGTACATTCGTTCAGCTAATTCACCCTTATGTTTCACATGCATCAAAAAGTTAGATTTACCATTTAAAAAAATTTTACTTGGTAAAAGGAAGTTGTTACACATGCAAAAATTGTCTCATAAAGCAGACTGAGAAGAGTCTGAGTTGTTTTTTTTCCGCTAGTTTTTGTGTCTTCATCTTTACCTCACATATTGGCCTGTTTTGCTTATAGACAGAAAGATGTGGGTGAGAGATCAGATAACTGATTGCCTGGAGCCCACATAGGCCTGACTTCCTACATCAGTGAGGACATCTAAGCACTTACTGTCATGTAAGGTTATTCTCAGAAATGGTCAATGCACAGCACATTCTGTATTTTTATTTGGCTACATTAATAGTTTGAGTTATTATTTTTTAAGACTCTCTGGGTGTTGTGCTCCCACACGTCATCTTTCGAGAAACTTGAGATGTGAGCTTTAGTTAGCCTCCCATTTGGACATTCTCCATCTTACTTCTTCTCTATGATCTGCCTGACTGACTGAAGTTAAGGCTCTCACCACTCTACAGAAGAAAAAAACCCAAATATAATTGAAAATTAAATCAATGATATTATCAAATATCACTGAGTTTAAGTGTCCAGTTAAGTAACATAATGAAATATACCAAGATTACCTGTACCATGCATAGGCATAATATGTGAAAAGGTCATTTTGTATGGCAAAAATTTCCATTTTACTTTTGCTCTGTTCCCTTAGGAATAATGTGGAATTAAATCTCTTGCTTCATGCCATTAAAATTAGTAGCCTATGTTAACAGATATGCTAGCCAGGGCCTGTCAACCCTATTTTCTACTGCACCTATGGAGCACTTTTACTTTATTTGAAACTTTATTTGAAATAAAATATAACGACATTAAACTTTTTTTACTTCAGCTAGTCACCATGGCAACATTTCTCATTATTAAGCTAAAATTACTAAAGCTAAAACTGAAATTTTAATAAAAACTATATAGATATATATAAAACATAATACAATGATTAAAATTGCATTTAAAAATTAAAACATGTACTGTACATTTTTCTGTCGTCTGTTTAGAATCAGCGATGCCTGATGACGTGATTGAATCAAGCTTTTGAGTCGATTCTTTTCCATGAAAAACTCTTATGGGATTGAATCTTTCGGAGTTTAGAGAAAGTACACACGTTTCCTATAGACAGGGGTGCACATAAGTTTTTCAGCCTGGTTCTCATAAGAGCACCTGGAGATTTGGTTTAGTCCTCACACTGCACATAGAGTGGCCCATTAAATATAAAAATAAAAAATCAATTAATAATAGGGATAATAGTATTATTGCACTTTATTTTTTTTCTTTAAATAAAATGATAAACAAAATAATAAAGTGTGATAATACTATTATATTTTAAAATAAAAAGGGAGTATGCCTATTAAATAAAATTTCAAAAATGTCATCATTTTCAAACTTGAAACCAGCAAGCTTTTATTTTGGCGGTTTGAGGCCGGCAATTGAGTATGCGCTGCTGGGTTCAGCGCTTCCGATTGAAGAGCGTCAGTGAATTAAATGTCACGAAATGTTTTGCATTGTGCTTTTAAAACGGCGAGGATAGCCTAGATTTACTGTATGCTTTCAGTTCGAATAGAAATCTTATACAGTATTAAAATTTGTCAATCTAAAATGGTAATTCTGCTTTAACAGCTGTCAACCATGTCGGTACGCAAATGAGCAGTCTGAACTTATTTTTATTTTGGTCGCGCATGCGCACCTGCGTACCATTTATGTGCATAAAAATAACACTGGAAGAAGTTGATATTACTAAATTACTGTATTACCATGTAGGGTATCAGAGCGAATCAGACAATTTAAGATTCGATCAGATTGGTGTTACAACAACCCAAAGAGCCAAATTCCTCAAAGAGGCCCAGGATAACAAGACGACGACATAAATCTGTCCACGATACCCTGGCGCCACAAGTCTGAAGTGAGCCTAACGAACTAGCAGCTTTGAGCCGCTCACAGAATTAAAACAAAAGAACACTTATTGATAGTTCCAACTCAGGAAGGAGTTTGTCCAATTTGGGGCAAGTAACCAAGATTAATGGTCAAAGGCACAGCATATCATGACCATCACATGAGGAAAATCATTAATAGAGATTGCGTTGGGTGGATTCCCCCCACCTAGAAGACAAAGACCAGACTGAAATTCCTTCTAAACCCTTTTGACCTTTGGTCTTCACAGAACATGTCATCACATTCACAGAATGGCACAGCAACTGCCTTTACATGTATATATGCACCTAAATGATGCTAAAAAGAACTTGTGAGCAATTAATAATTTCTATGCATAACTCCATATTATGTTTGTAACCCACACATTTCACTATCATCTCCTAATCAAAGGAAAGGAAAGACGTGACGTGTGGCCAAGTATGGTGTCCCATACTTGGAATTTGTGCTCTGCATTTAAAAGGTTAGTTCACCCAAAAATGAAAATTAGCCCATAAATTACTCACCCTCAAGTCATCCTAGGTGTATATGATTTTCTTCTTTCAGACGAATCCAGTCGGAATTATATAAAAAATTGTC